ACAGTACAGTACATTGCTGTGTTTCATTTGTGTAAGCGTAACTTTTGCACATGGGGATGTTTCTGATGTTCTCGTTTCCAGCTCCGAGCCAAAGACGGCTGCTTTTTTACCCTCAAGTGCTTCGATGGCAGCATGCATCACTTCAAAGTATCACCTAAAAACAACCCAGAGGCAACGGCAAAAGTATGTTTCATTTCTCCTCCGACATTCTGTCGTGGTCTCCTAAGTCATTCTCTAACTTGGTTCTAGAAGGTTTCACATATAAAGCACCAATCTTTTGTATATTTTTCACATGTATTACTAATATTTTAAGGACATTTTTCAGATATTTTTTCAACTTTTGTTCACACATTTTTCATTGATTCTTTTCATATCTTTTACTAATAATATTTGAAAATTTTCAGATATTTAACTAACATTTTTTTAACTAATGGTGAACACATTATTAACAATATTTATGCACATTTTTCACAATTGTTTTTCACAACGTTTCCAAATATTTTTTGCGTATATTTCTGATACTTTTGGGATATTTACTGTAGTTTTGCCTGATGAAGCTGCCAAACTGTCATGAATAGTTAACAGTATAACTAGGATGTGTGCTCTATAAACTAATTCACACTTTCAGTTGCAGCTGCTGGCACCAGAATGAAATGTAAAGATCTCTAGATTCAGATGAGGGAGAGTAGCCTTTCAGCATGAACTGAATTCATCTATTCACCAGCAGCTCTCTCTGTCCCCTCTTCATATCCAGCACATCGCCTACTTTCCGCCCAATTTGCCTTTCAGAGCTTTGGATTTTTTTTTCCCCAGCATGACACAAGCCTGTGTGCCCGTCCATCTAAACTAATCTCTGTAATGTTAATAACAAATTACCAAAGTTAGAGGCTTATGTTTGACTTGGGTTTGGTCCAAAGAACTTAAAAACAGCTCTGCCTTTTGTTCTGTCTGAGCAGATGGAGCCCTCAGATTCCAAACAGAAGATGAGTTCTCAATAATACATTTGATTTGCAAACACCTGATCTAGAAACTCCCATTTAGAAATGTGGTATGATTTTTGATATTTCGAATACTTTTTGTCATTTTGACCAATAAAAGAGGACTTCTGTAAGTTTTGCTGAACGTTGAGCAGCAATATCTCAAATCACAGATAGAAGCTTGAGTCTGTTGTTGTCTTCCAGGGCTGGCTGGACGCAGTGGAGGAGCACTCCGCCTACAGCACACACTACTGCTCCCAGGAGCAAGGCAGCGAGGGGGAGGAGGAGGAGGAAGTGAAGTCACTCGGGGAGCTGACAGACTCACTACAGGTGGCTGTAAACCAAATGAAAATCCATAAGCGGCATGTCAGAATAGTGATCCACAGTGATCCACCCGGTCGTCCCACCCTGCGCTGCTTTTGTTCATCTGCAGTTTCCTCTCATCTCTCTGAAACCAGGCGGCGGACGCCAACCAGAAGAAACTGGAGAAGGAGGTGGAAGCTTTCCTGTCCATGCTGAGAGATGACGGGCTGGCAGAAAGTAAAACCTGCTGCTTCATTGTCGATTACATTCTTTTATATATTCATGTTATAATAGACGCAACAGAGGAGAAACGATTGAAGAATAGAAATGAAAATGCCCACTCATTAAGCAGGTTCAAATGCACAGTTTTGATAGAATAACTTCTGAAGTCCTTATAATTACGATTATGTCGATTGTTGTGCTTCTAGCTTTTCTGAGAACATAAAGAAACTTCATGTTTAATGAAGCTTCGAGTCAGTGGCGGTCCCGGGCTTTGTTTATGAACCCAACTGCAGTGAGGTCTTGGTCCTGATGGACTGCAGCCTCCTGCCAGAGGGCTTTTGTTTTTGTTTTGACTTTTTAATTTCACTCATTTACTTTGTGGTCCCTCATTGGTGCGTTTGTCCCCTCAGGGTTTCCGTCCACCATCACCCAGAAATTACAAGAGATCAGCGAGTTGTCCAGCGAGACCAGCTCCGGTCTGGGAGTCTGTCTCGGCCTCCTCTCCAGACAGGAAGGGGTGAGTGTCTGCTTCACCCTCGACAGATTTGTGTCTTTGTTTGAATTCCTCTCAGAAGCTTTGTTTTTGTCAACTGTACCGTCGATTATCAGGATTTAATTCTCCACAACCCATAATAGCAGAACATAGGTTGTTATATGACGTGGATATTTGGAATTATTCAGCTCTGAAACTTTTGCTGTCGCCTCAATAAAATGGAGGTAAAGAAACACAAGTGTTAGATTTTTCAAGTGTAAATGAGGGCTGAGTATATTTATATATTATATCATATATTCTTTGTGATTTGAGTGACCTGACCTTTTAAAAAATGCAGACTACAAATACTGTAAAGAGGATCCTTCCAGCCCGTGACCCTCCGATGTGTAGTGACAGAATAAGAAAGAAGACGTTTCTTAAGAAAGCGGCGGCACTATTCACACCTCTTTATGAAAGCAGCTCAGTGGAGTGCTGTGATTATAAGCTGTCAGATGGGTTCTTCTTTGTGTGATTCAATGGATTTGATTATAATGGAAGGATTCAGAGGATAGATTACATCCCTCCAGGGAGGAGAAATAGATGGCACCGCTTACAGCTCACAACAAGCACCAGCCCTGTACATCAGCTCTGTAATGATGTAAAAATATTATTTATATACCACTTCTCTAAACACAGTGGTTACATGGTGATTCACATAATGAGATCCTTTTCTGGCTTCTTGTGCAGGAGGCTCCTGCGGTTCCTGTGTGCAAACCAGCAGCTCACTGTACATCTGTTGGATACTGAACTTGGAACTATTTCAGGCATTAAAGTAGTGAAAGTGTATTAGTGCTACTACTCGATATGTAAACGCAAAAGGCAAACAACGATGAGCCAGCAGGATTTTACAACGCTGGCCGAATGCCCAGTAGCATTCTGGCTCAGCTGCAGTTAACAGCACACAAACAGTGCTCTATAGGGGAGGGCGTTACGCAAAATAGTCCTCTATTGTGGTGGGAGACATCTTACATTGTGATATTGCATCAATATTTTGTTTATTGTTAAAACATCTGGAAAGGAATGTCTGTTTTTTTTTTTACTAATCCAGCAAATTACACATCTAAGAAATGAAGCTATTTCATCAAATTGGTGGAAAAAAATCACAAGACTGTTGCGACGCGTCTCGGTGTGATCGGCCCCGTCAACAACGCCCCTTTGCAAAGTGAGCGGGGGGTGCGGGGGTGCGTGTGCAACCAGGCAATCAAACGCAAAGAACAGAGGAAATAAATAGGATTCAATGCAGACGTTGAGCTCTTGCTGTTGTAAACGGAGGAGCGGGGAAACGATGTTTGTTTGAAGGGCTGATTCACTCAGAAGAAGTCTGTGTGCTGAAGCTAAATATAAAGACATTTTTGCAATATCAAAGAAAGCATGTCTGATTTTTATTACAATCATAATCTTCCATCTCAGTTCTGTGGGCTGTAACACAAAACCTAGTTGGCTGAGAGTGTTCATTCTGCCGATCCCAGTTTTTGGTTGATGTGCGTCTCTCTGAACATCACATCAGAATGAGAATGAGTCGCTGTCTGCTGATTGTTTGCCCATGATACGACGTATAGCGCTGCTGACCCATTTCAATGTTCCAGGTTTGACGGCCAGTCCGGAGCTTTCAGGGTTTACACGTGTGCCGGGCCATCGAGCCCTCAGCTGCGCAGCCTTTTGATCCGCAGAGGCAGAGCTCACGATAAAAGGCTCACGGGGTCTCAGAGCTCGCACCATGCGTAGACCTTGGTCTCTGGAGGAGGAACTCCGACATGCACACTGCATATCTCACACGATGGTATTGCAGCGTGAATGAAGCAGTGGGGTCTGCGGGGGGGGGGAAAGGATCCCGAATCACTTCCAGCTCCTGCGGCGATGGGCTTTGCACTTCGCACCACCTGCGTAGTTGTCAAGCAGCAGAAATCTCCTCTTTAAAGTTCAGTGTATTGTAATGTTGGAGAGTGACCTGCAGCCATTATACAGCACTTAACCTCGCCTGCTCTCGTCCTGGTTACATCATGTGCTCGATGATTTCCGATCAGACGACCTCCTGCAGGAAGCGAAATACTAACGAAATGCCTCTAATTTATGTTTGCATCTACCATTTGTTATTTTTTTCGTTAGAAACCATTGATTTCTGGGATTTACCAATGTTTCCTTATTTTACCGGATGATAAAGATAAAAGATGAGAAAAATACATCTCATTTTAACAGTCACCAAATAAAAAAAAAAACTTCCGCAGTAGCAACACAATATTGAGAAAGTCTGAGTTCCTGTTTTCAACACAGACACCATTATTCAACCGTCTTCACTGACGAGATTGACAAACTCAATCCTCTTGAGAAGACAGAGTGGACGCTTGTTTTGAAGAGCGGTTACGCGAGGACGTCCACCAACTGGCAAACTCCAGGCGAACAGCGTCACGGCGCTTTACCGCAACCAACTGGAACGGAGTGGACCGATGCTAACCCTCAATGGTAGACATTTACATACTAGTCTTTGATGCTTTTTGATTTTCCTGTAACGCCAGTAGTGACAAAAAGATGTAAATTATTGAACAGCACCCTCAGCTTCACTGCTGATGAGGTTCTTCTTCTGGTTTTTTTTGTCTTCCATCCTTTTAGTTTGTTTTTTGGCGGCATCTCTTACACATTGTTGGCAAGTGGCAGAGTTTTTGCACACATCAACACCTGCCCTTATATAGTGTTTCGAACCCCATGTTGGGCTTGCTAAGAACGTTTGGTTGCATCTGGAGTTGACTTATTATTATTTTCTCTTTTTATTCTTATTTTTTCTCCGAACAGAAGATTAAGAGCAGTTGCACGAGGCCCAGACGTTCCCTCTTTTGTTTCTTTGAAAGCGCCTCTTTTGTTGCTCTCTGCACTTAATATTTACACATTGTGTTATTTACACAAGAAGCACTAGCGTCTTGTATAAAAGCGAGGTTTCAGGCTTATGGATTATATCCGAGTCCATTACCCGTCATCTGAGCCCCTCTCCTCAGACGGGAGTCATGTTCTCCGGGCCGGCCATTTGAGACGAGCGGCGTCAAGGCAGACGTCCTCCATTACAGAGAAACCACGGCCTCGTCCCGCTCGGCTCCGTCTCTGCACTCTCTGTGGGTCTGATAATGATGGGACGGTGCAGAGGGGACGGTCGGTCGGCCAACATGCTGTTTATGTAGCATCACAGTCTGAGACACACACACACACACACACACACACACGTGTCCTCTGTTTGTAATGAGAGTCAGAATAAAATGTTTGCCACATCCTTAGTTATCAAATGTGGAAGATGGAAATTTTCTATGACTGATTAGTCTCTGTGTGTGTGTGTGTGTGTGTGTGTGTGTGTGTGTGTGTGTGGCGAGCTCAGGTGCGCAGTCTGAAATTGGAGCAGGAGGTAGAGAAGAACAAGATCCTCTCCGAGGCGCTGCAGACTCTCGCCACAGAGCACCACGAACTTGAGCAATCCGTCGTCAAGGGATCGTCCCCGCGGAGCGCCCTGAGCGAGGATGAGTTCCACGACGCCGTGTCTGGTGAGTTGACAAGTTATCAAACCCCGCTTCGGGGTCAGGAGATGCGGGAGATTCTCACACTCGCCCTGCTCTGTCATTCCCCTGTAGGACACTGGAATACTTGCCCTTTGGTTTTTTGGTTGTTGCCGCTCCTGAGGAGTGACGTAAGAGCAAGTGTTGCCTGGTTGTGTTGAAGTAACCTGAAGCCTGATTTAACACGAATGAGGTGTAGTGACAATTTAAAACTGACTGATGCTTGTGTGAAGAATGGCTACTAAACAGGAGTTTGTTCTTATTTCTTTTATATTTAGTTCATCTGTATCAAGGACACCTTTTATCTAATGTGATGCTAATGCGTTGACCAGTTCTATATATGAGAGTAGGTTAACATGGAGGTGTCGAGGCTGATCTGCACGGGAGATATGCAGTCATTGTGAAGTGTGAATAATACGTTCTAGATGTGTTTGCTTATTAATATCTATACTTAAATAAATGAATATGATCAATTGCATTAAAGCAGAAATGAGAAAAACGACACTTTTTATGTTTTATTTTTCTCACGTCCTGTTTTTACAGCATCTTTTTGGAGATGCCGATATCGATATTAGCACAACATGACTTGATTTGGAGGTTTGAAAAAATAATAATACAAATAAGAATATATCGGCCGATAGTGACTTTGTTTTTTAACGTGAGAAATCTTGATACGTCTCTCATGGATTTGTTTGTTGTTGATTTTCAAAGGCGACCGACCGCCGTCTGTCACTGCTCAACGGTGGACAAACCGTGTCATGGCGACACTGTTTTGTTCCGAATCTTTTAACTGTAACGGTTGATTTGTTATTTGCTATCGTGCACGTGTGGACATCGGCTTTATTAACAGACTAGACAATAGTCCCACAGGTACTGGATCATTCATTTTACCATCTCCATCTTTTAATAAGCACGGTTTGATTGCATGTCCTTTTAAAGGTCCAGTGTGTGGCATTTAGGGAGAAGTGGAATTCATTTGATTTTAAGTGTTTAATCACCGGAAACCAAGAATTGTTGTGTTTTGTATACAGCTTTATTAAAACACACACACAACAAGTTTACACCTTGAGTCTATTTGCAGCTGTTAGCTCGCCAGCGCTCCCTCGGATGCTTTTTTTAGATGATAGTTAAGTGATGCGGTGTGTGTGGTGAAGAAATATAACCCTGAATACATTAAGTTAGGATTAATAAGGACAGGCAGTGACGGGTGAGGCTTCACTGTTCTACCGCCGGTTGGTTACGATGTAAAACCTCACAGCTTAGATGCCACTAAATCCTTCACACTGCTGCTCTAACAGTCCATTTCACCCTTGACTTCCACGACATCCCGTCTGAACAATAAATAAATTGTCCCCCTCACAGAATCAGACTCGGAGATCTCGCTGAGCGACTTTGAGACGGTGGCCAGCCATTCCTGCGAGGAGGAGGAGGAGGACGAAGGCTCGGTCATGTTGATGAGCGGCCCCACCGGCATGCTGCGGGAGGATCACCATGGAGACAAGGACGAGACTCAACCCAACGGGATCACAAAGCACAGGTCAGCGGTGCTTTGTGCCTCCACGGTGTCCTAAATGGACCACCGGCCCCCTGAGCTGTTATCCACCTCTCAACAAAGGGCCTGTCTCCTCCAAGCAGACTATTATTGCTGTATCAGCAGTGTCAGGACGCTGTAGATCCGTTTCCTCGAGTCGTCCCTCGGGTCTTTCCACTTCACGGTGTGAATAATTTAGAGTCAGCCCGGTGAAGGGAAAAAAAGAACGAGTGGTGTTGGAGCTGTTAAATATTGATACGGTCACAGTGTAACGCAATAATCAGGCTGCAGTCCCACGTTGGCTAATCTCTCCCGGCAGCTCTGGAGCGCACTACAGACGAGTTGGATGGATTTCAGATTCCATCATTATATTAACTCTTCCTCTTGTTCTTCACAGGGCTTATATTCTTGTGTCAAAGAAACTGTCATAGAATTATATATTTATATTATTTTCCACTTTTACCGACTTAAACCTTTCAACCAACTTCAGTCCTGATCATAACTACCAAATGTTCATTCACTTTGTTTACATAACGGCAACATTGTATTATTTACAATGTTGTAAACGGTGGAGGGATTTAGTGTTAAGTCTGTGAAATACTAATATGTCAATGATTAGCAACATTGATTTTGCAGCGTCAGCTTTCTAAGAACTCCTTCTTGTTGCCTGAGAGGACAAAGATTCCGTTCTCCTAATACTGCTATAAAAATACTATATGTTGAGTCTCTATGTGAGAGTTAAACATTTTAACCAAATATTATTACGCTTTAAATGCCAGTTTGTTTACATAATGCTGCTGTTTTTTTAAATTGTCTTTTATATCATAATTTATGACAAACACTGTTTTAAAAAGTTCACGTTCTTGATACATTTTACAAATATTGGGGCTTTGATTGAATACCTCTATGATATTGTTTTTGCATTTAATGAATGTCTTTCCAAAGCATGGGACAGGAGGAGAGCCGTAACTACGATGGATAAATTACCCAGACACTGTTTTTATGATGATCTTATGCTGCAATGGCCTTGACAACAATGTTGTTCATGTTTCTTTTGTCCTTAAGGGTCTGAGTGTCTGTATTTTGGTTACACAGTTTATTATAGACTCATTATAGGAGCTGAGGTTCAACTTTCCAGAGAAAAAAAGAAAAACTCAGACCAATGCCAAAATGATCAAAATATTTAAAATCCCAAAATGACCCTAGTGATGCTTAAGCGTTAAGTTTATTATCTCCGACCTATAAAACCTTTAAGATAGTTTGACTTGTTGGTCCGTTGTATCTGTTGATGTTTACCAGCGTTGATGCCGGTGTTGATTGTCTCTCTGGGCTTTGTTCCAGTGTGTCACACAATACACTGCAGGCTGTCGTCGGCCATATTCACTTGAATAAGATATGACGCCTGCAGCTATTATGTGTCTGTTGCTGCATTTCCTCTAACAAAAAGTGTACATTTTTAGAGCTCAATGTCATCTTACAAACCTGTGTGTGTGTGTGTGTGTGTGTGTGATTCTAGGACCAGCTTACCTGCACCAATGTTTTCAAGAAATGACTTCAGTATTTGGAGTATCCTGAGGAACTGCATTGGAATGGTGAGAATGATTGTTTTTATTAGTAATACTAGATGTGCCGTACAGTATAAACCCACTCTACTCTACACTATACCTGCAGACAGACTCGGTCAGAGATTCGCTGTTGAACTCAGTGGAACATTTAGCGGCTAAAGAGACAGAAACTTCCCTCAGGAGTTGGTGGAGACCAAAAGCGGAGCTAGAAGGAGAGTGAATTTTGCCATTACGTTCATCATGTAGACAGAAACACGACTCCAAAGTAATAATAATTTTCCTCCGTATCTGCTGGATGTTAGAATAAGCAACTGTCAAATATCAACATCAGAGTGATGACGTGTCATCGTTGTGTTCACAGCACGGCTGTAGACTCTTGAGATTATTCATGAATTACTCTGTACCTTTCTGTACTTCTAGATCAGACCATGAAAGAGTCCAGGCACCATAATCCTTCATATTAAAAACTCTATTTTTCTTACTTATCTTACATTTGAACATTACATTTCTAAATCGTCATTTATTGTTGCGCTGCAGAAGGAAAGAGTAAACACGACACTACATTTACATGATTGAATTTGACAGACACTTATGTCCTAAGGGACATATTGTGCAAATGACGTTCGGACGTTTTTACCGCATGTTTGAAGACCAATATCCCCTTTGGCCTTTTCAATAGTCATGAAAACTGGTCCTTCAATTGCATTTATAAAACCACTGAGAAACCTGTTGTTGCTATTATTCATAAGCTGCATTCAATTTAATACCAAGGCTGGTCTAAATGTCACAATCATGGGCAGGGAAATATGGCAAAAGACAAAATAGAAGAAAGAAAATTATATTTATATATACAGTGTGTATATACAAAGTATAATTTGCCTAAATGTCAGACATCATTCTGTTCACAGTTAAGAGAAGATATAGAAGATACAGAAGTGTGATTGAAGATAAAAGAATCTGTGATTATAATGAGAAATGAAGTGGAGAGGAAATTAATTTGATTTCATATTGTCCTTTACATTTTAATTTACAATACATTTTTAAAACGTTCATGTTCTTGATTTAGATTTTATAGGTATATTAAGAATGGTCCTTTGATTCAAAACCTTTTTTGTAATTGTTTTTGCATCTTCTGAATATGTTTCTCATGCACGGGACGGGAGGAAGAGTGTCTCAGACCCTGTTAACACCGATCGGTATTGGTTCATAAGCTGGTGTAAATATGCAGCGTTGAGCATGAACGGATGCACACATTGTCTTTGGATTTCTCTTCATCCTGGAGAATTGTGTGTGAGAGGCGCACGCTGACTGTGGAATTTGTTTTAATCCAAAATGCTACACAACTAAGAAGAACTCACTTTTAAACAAACGTGGTCCTTTTTGCATTACACGCCCTCAAAGAGGTGAACCCCTCTGCACCACGGGTTTCTTCACTTTTTTTATAATAACTAAATGATATGCTTATTCTACAAACACTACAAACAACTATGAATAAACTTTAAAAAAAGAATATTCAATAGCATGAATAGATTCTTATCTTTTGTATTTTTTGTTATAAACAGATAGGCTGATGGTAAAATGTATGTTGATGTCATGTCTCTATTAGATCGTATGGCGAGACTATACAATGGTGGTAATCAGTGTGCACTAGGGCCCATCATTAATATTTGGTAATTATTTATGTATTGTGCCGTTAGATGACAGCAGGTTAACATGCCGAAGCGCTTGGTTTGTTGTTTGTTCTTGTGTCTGAATGATCCCATGACTGAGGGGTCATGTGAATGACCAAACATTCATTCATTATTATTATTATGATTCCTCTTCATGTCTGTCTTAGGAACTCTCCAAGATTACAATGCCGGTGATTTTCAACGAGCCGCTGAGCTTCTTGCAGCGTCTGACGGAGTACATGGAGCACACGTACCTCATCCAGCAGGCCAACGCCTGCTCAGACTCTGTCGAGAGGATGAAGGTAGTGACGTCCTTTTACGTGCGACGTGCAAATTACTAAAGCTGTCTCAAAAACAGCCATATTTGATGTGGATGATACCTTTTTTTTAGAGTTTAGAGTGTGTGACGCGGAGTGTTCTTCGTGTTGTTGGCAGTGTGTGGCTGCGTTCGCGGTGTCCGCTGTGGCCTCGCAGTGGGAGCGGACCGGTAAACCGTTCAACCCGCTGCTGGGAGAAACCTACGAACTGGTCCGGTAAGTGTGGATTACCGTGCTCAACACTGATGATATACTAAATGCTTGTCCGTCCTCTTAATGTTTCCAACGGGCTGTCATTCCCAGAGAGGACCTGGGCTTCAGGCTGCTGTCGGAGCAGGTGAGCCACCATCCTCCGGTCAGCGCCTTCCACGCTGAGGGCCTGAAGCAGGACTTTGTGTTCCATGGATCCATCTACCCCAAACTCAAGTTCTGGGGCAAGAGTGTGGAAGCGGAGCCGAAAGGCATCATCACGCTGGAGCTGCCCAAGTAAGAAGCTCCAGTTGATTCATTGAAAGACGGCATGATTTTGATCATATTTTCTTACTATTTAAATATCATCTCTTCCTATTCTTAAAAAGACAAATAAAATATATCGATAAGCGCTGTTACACTATTTACACAAAAATAGTTTGTAACTCTTCCAATGTTCTCCTATTTATTTATTTATTGGTTTATTTGGTATGGACAGTGCACATCAATAAAACATTCCTGTAAATGCGCCACAGTTAGCCAAGAGGCTGTAGTCCCAGGACAGATGTTACAAAGTCAACCTAGAAACAGAATATACGATGAAATTTACAAAGCTCTGCATTACTCACCCTTTACAAAGCGTGCAGAAACAATGAAAGAAGAGACAGTAAACACTAAAAACATACATGTCAGAAGCACAAAACATAAAAGCATGCAGAGTATGTAAGATATATACTTCAGTGTGACACAACAATGAAAGACGTGCAGGTCGATGAGGGTCGAGGTGACCGCAGACAGGGAGTTAGGTTCTAGCGCTGACAGAGCTGCGTGCTGACCAACCATTTCTTTAAATGAGCTGCATGCGTTTAGTTCTCTAATGGTCACTGGGATGGAGTTCCATCTTAGTGCAGCTTTGACAGATAATGCCGACTGACTGAAAGCACTTTTCCTGGGTGGGTGAGGATGAGTGTCCTGTAGACTTTTCTCCCACATGCACATTGTGACCTTTTACATTCTCCTTCAAAGTACTCCACTGGTTTATCAAATCAGCACTCCTGTAGCACTTCTGGACTCACACTAGACATTTAAGAAGGAGATACAAATGAAAGCAGCACAACCAGATATATCGTCTTTATTATTCCACACATTCTTCTTCTTTCTTGTGACAATCTTGCACCTGCAATACCTACAATGCAACTCGACCGCAGGCAGTTTGCTTTGAGATGTGGTTGTGTAATGCTAATGTAATGTAGCCTCGTGACTCAAGCAGAGATGAGAAGCAGAGGGCTGGTACGCTCTCTTATTTCTAACTCTACACGTCCAGATTTCTTTTTATTTTCAAACTTGTAGTCTTCAATCAACGCTGACTGAAGTGACATCACCTGAGGACATTTATCAGACTTCATACAGCTTCATCTGGAGATGCAAAAAGGAAAGAAGGAAGAAGCCAATTACTAACGAACAGCAGCGCAAGAATATGAAAAAGTCCCCATATGGAGCAGCACTTCCCAACACCTGTAAAACCGACTTGAATGAGTTAAAGTGGCTCCCCTGTAAGTCTTTCTTTATCTCCAGGTACAATGAAGCCTACACCTGGACAAATCCTACATGTTGTGTTCACAACATCATCGTGGGCCAGCTGTGGATCGAGCAGTACGGAAATGTGGAGTTGGTCAACCACAGGTGAGTGGACAAAAACAATCTTAACACAATACAAATGTTTGCTTATATGTATTGGCCCACTATACCTTTTTAAAGACTATAGAGCAATGTGGTAGAGTAATCTGATACACTTGATACAAACATGTTGAGGAAGTTTGACTAACAAGGAGGAAACGGAGCAGATGTGGAGGTTCTGTGTGACTCAGCCAGCAGAGAGCGAGAGGATGATGTGACGTTTCTTCTCCTCTTTCTTTAACCTAGAACCGGTGAAAGATGCTGCCTGAATTTCAAACCATGTGGTCTTTTTGGCAAAGAGCTGCACAAGGTTGAAGGGTATATTCTGGATAAAAGGTACGGCCTACACCGACACATGCAAGTTCAGACAAGTCATTTAAATAAGGAGTAGTCTTATTCTTCTTGTCTAGAATGCTGAGGGAATTATTACTGACTCATCTATCTCTGTGCATGTACAGCATCAGTACGCAGTTTATCGTGCTGATGCCTTCCAAAACACCATATTGTAGAAGTATGACTCAATAAGCTGTTTGAATTAGCTTTATTTGTAACTCAGGACCCGCAAAGGTTAGCTGAGGTCACTCCCTTGAGCTCATTTCTAACTTTAAAGGAATCATTTTCCACATTAAAATGTCTTAAAACGACAAGACTTCCAAACCCAGAGAAATCTGCTATTTTAATCAAGGTACGTTTCATTTGGTCGCCTGTCACCGGCGTCCTATCCTCTTTGTGCAGCATCAGCGTAGTGGTTGTCTGCTAGGAGCTGTCATGAATTTACTTTTTTTCCAGGTTTTAATCTAAATGTATCTTAACATGGTGAAGGATTTTAGTCATCAGACGTCTTAAGTTATCAGAGAAACAAGCTGAGAAAATGTTCCCTTTTGCCGAGTATCCTGAGGTAGAAGGTTTGCATGAAGTTAGAGTTAGAAACCACATCATGGTTTGGCCTTAAATACGTACTCTACGGGACTTAAGCTACGCGTGTAACTTTACACGATGAGAAGGTTCAATTAAAGGAGGAGGACAAACCAATGACTCAGCATGTATGAGTGGACACAACGACATGGGTTTGACCACGACAACAACACTAAATATGCATCCATTGAGTCGTGCAGACCGGCTGAGCTCGTGTGTTTGTGCCTGGTGATATTTACGTGTGTTTTTCCACAGCAAAAAGAAGCTGTGCGCTCTCTACGGGAAGTGGACAGAGTGCCTGTACGTTGTTGACCCGGCCGCCTTCGAAGCGCACAAGAAGAGTGACAAGAAAGGAGCCGCGGAGAAAAGAAGCAGCAAAGCGGTATGAGCTGCTTCCCACTGAACAGAAGGGAGTCACAAAATCAGCTTGTTATTGCGATTCATCGTGTGAATAATGCAGTTTGACGACGGATTAGATGGAAAATATCAGTGTTTTTCAAGTCGCATAATATGATGATATCTTGAGATCTTTGCCGACACCCGTAATTAACGTTATTCTCCCGATAAACACTATAATGATGCATCTCTCAGAGAGCATGATTAATATGTGCAGCATTACTGTACGTCTGTGTGACACTGTGTGCAGGGCTGCAGTGAGGATCACGAGGAGGATCCCTCTCCAGCTGCAGACACCGTGGAGATGATTCCTGGCAGCCAGCTGCTGTGGAGAATCGCACCCAGACCGGCCAACTCTACCGAGGTCTGACTGATTAACGGACACGATGAGCTTTCATTAGCATATATTACAAAGCACCCGCTCCACTCTGAGTTTGAAACTTTCAGACAGACATTCAGAGTACTCGGGTTCAAGAGCATTAGGAGTAAAAACGTCTTCGTTCTGTGCATTATCTTCTTAATTTACACAATTTCAGAGATGGTTGTGTATTCTTGTGTTCTGTACTTTGCATGTACAGGAAACATGTTTGTACCTTTCCTATTGCTTTTGTTGTGTACTTGTGTGTTTTTTTTAATCTTGTGCACCTGACTGCAAATTAAGTTTCCCATCCGGTATGTTAATGTGACTGAACAGAACTAGAGTACAGCCCCAAAATCAGCATGGGTTTTATGTTTTTGATGTTTCTGATTTACAAATAATTGCAGATGTACAGCTTCACGTCCTTTGCCATGCAACTAAACGAGCTGCATAAAGAGATGGAGGGAGCCATCCCTCAGACGGACTGCAGGCTGAGGCCAGACATACGAGCAATGGAGAACGGCGACATCGGTAATATTATTTGGCAACGTACTTTGAACTGAAAGTTAAAACAAAACTTAAAATTTGCAATCTACAACTCTACGATGTTTGTATTCCAATAGACCTCGCCAGTGAGGAGAAGAAAAGGCTCGAGGAAAAACAGAGAGCTGCTCGCAAGAACCGCTCCAAATCCGATTCCACTGAAGAGTGGAAGACCAGGTGAGGCTGTTGATGAAACTGGAGAACTCAAAGTGTTCTCCTCTCTTAAAGGGATAGTTCAGATACAACCTTACTTTAAAACACCAAAGGCACACAGTAACAGAAACAAACTAACCGATGGAGGCAGCAGCTCCTGTGTCCTGAGAGGTAGAATCAGTGTTTGAGTGAATGGAGTCTGGTGTGTTTGTAGAGATCATAGATAACAGCTTGAGTTCCCCTCAGAAAGGTCTGTCTGACAGCAAGGTAAAGAGCTGAAGACATTCTGAATATAGCTTCACTTCAACTGAGAGACATTCTGTTAGGAGTCTAACATACGTCCACAGCAGAACATCACTTTGCTCCCGTGCTGGTTCTCCTGTCTGTTTCTATCAACTCATCTACTGCAGTAGAACCCTGACTGTGGAGGAGAACCTCATACACACACACTGCAGAACATCACAACTGTCCCTTTAGCTCCAAAGGCTTTGATATAATCAGTTCATGTGTGCAGTAAGTTTTCAAAGGACCAACCAATTCAAGGCCACATTAAGACATTGGCCTTTCTTTGTGTGCATTAAAGGACAATCGTTGATATTTAACATGAATAAAGTGTGAACATTGTCAACTCTGATTACTCCCTGTTCAATGAAGTGGCCTTCATATAGTTTTTCGATAAACTTTATATGATTTCTTTCTTTAAAGGAAATGCACTTATTCGCTTTCTTGCCATAAATTAAATGAGATTCTCGACAAGAAAACAAATAAGTGTTTTCCAAAATGTCAAACTGTATTTTTTTTAATAAAGTGTGAACATTGACCGCTCTGTGTATTTTGCTAAATTGAAGCATTGTAAATATACTTTTACTTCCCATGCAGTTTTCATTGTGGCCGAATATACAGTTTCTGTCTCTAATGCAGAGGTTTTATTGTCTCTTTCATACTGCGTGTCTTTGAAATGCTCAAGCTAAATCTCCATCTTCTCTTCATCTGACTTGTTTTTCTGTTGCATCCTGGCTTTGATGTTTAGGAGTCCTGCCCTGGGCCCAAGGTCAGAGCTGCTCGCTGTTTGATTGATGTGCCTGAAATGTGTGATGTGATCACGTGACCTCGCAGTCTCACAGTGTTTCCGAACACTTTGTATTCTCTAAATTGAAATCTTATCTCCATCCCCGCGGCCTGCTGTCTGTTAACATATGACAGAGAATCAGCGATGATTGAATCACAGTTTGGAGACGATGTCGTTAATCTGCTCTCCCTTCCACCGGCATGGCAGCTTCCTGGATGCTCAAAGACTACAGGAGTCCTCTAACCCGAATCAGTTCCTCCACTCGCTTTCATGCAGCAAAGCTAAAAAAAACAATACATGTTTGAAGAATACTTCACCCTCAGAATGACCATTTGTATACCGATCACTCAATTTGAATTCTAGAAGAAAACTTTTTCTCGATCGCCTCCGGAGCGAACAAAAACATCAAAAAACGGAGGAAGATCTTGATGAATTGAAGTAAATAGGGGCGGCGTTTAGCAACAGCTACACTATATCGAATCATCTCACACAACTCGACCTCATGGGTGGATTATAAAACAATGGGCCCCTGGACAAAAACGTGCAAAAAGTCTGCTAGACACAGACTTTAGAGTTGTTTAGCCTTTTTGTGTTGTTTTGTGTCTCTTTGTAGTTGTTTAGTGTCTCTTTGTAGTTGTTTTGTGTCTCTTTGTAGTTGTTTAGTGTCTCTTTGTAGCTTTACTCCAGAGGCCCGTCATCGTCTGACTGATAGCTGAGGGGTTCTGAGATTAACGACTGGATAAATGAGACTTTGATTATAAATGAGACTTGGATTATACTGCAGGAGTTGTAACCAGATGTTTTAAAATGATTATGCTGTTTTAAACGCGACCCCCATTTACGCCAATTCATCAAGACTCCTCTCCGTTTTTGGATTCTTCGTTTGCCGTGGAGGCATGCGAGAGAAAAACAAAGTTTTCTTTCAGAATTCAAGGTAACACGGGCCGAGGCATTGATGTAAAAACGGTAATTTTTTGTGCAAAGTATTCCTTTCATTTTAGTCCAAAACAAAGAACCCTAACGGCCCATTCAATGCACATTACCCATAACCTTGTGATGAAGCATGCCTGACCTTCCTTCCCCGCTTTCCCCGGTTTTTGAGTTGTGACTTTCTGGCTGGTGTCGTGTTCAAACTGAACGCTGATGTGTCTCCGCTGTGTTTTCAGGTGGTTTCAGCAGGGTCAAAACCCCCACACCAGCTCCCAGGACTGGCTCTTCTCTACTGGATACTGGGACAGGAACTACAGCCAGCTACCAAACATTTACTAATGGACCTTTTCTGCAGACAGAAATTAGCACCATTCAGTGTCCTTTCTACGGAGCAGCATTAACTGTGTTTTTTTTTTTTTAATGTAATGGCAACAGTAACTACAAGCAACAATACATAACTGCGTGGCCTTAATCTCCTTTATGATTGTAAAACTGTGCATAAAAAATAATCAATATTTAAAAGTTATGAAATGTGAAGTTCTTTGACAATGCTTTGAAATGTAGCATTTGTATTTCCATTCAGACCGTTTTCTTTCTGTTCATAAGGGAACTGAGGTGCTGATGCACAGCGGTTCATGCTTTTAGTTTCCTTCTGTCTTCTTTTAAATGTTTATAATAATAACTCTAAATGTATTCCTGTATATAAACTACACAGATTCAACCAGTGACCTCATCATGCCGTTCACATTCCCTCTGGACTCCAAACTCACGAGCAGTCAGTAAATATGAGGTTGTTTCTCCGGATGTAGTTTGTCTTGTTAAAAAGAAAACAATTATGAAACATACGTACAAAAATCCCAGTTTATTTTCTACATCAATATTAAACTTGACTGGTGTTCATTGTTTTTCCTCCCAGAATTGTGTGATTTCATAAAGCACATTTCGTTATGTGAAGAGGTTTATTATTATGTGTGTCGTTGATTGGGGGGGTCAGAAGGTTTTTTTTGTTTTTTTTTATGGTGTTTTTGCCTCCATATAGAGCATTGAAAGTATTTTATTGGAAACTGAAATAAAACACTTCAATGTATTCATGTATCTTTTTATCATTTATGTGAAGTATGCTTGAGATGCAAGAAAAAAGTACAGAGGAGTCTGAGAATAATGTGTAATCTGGTCTCTGCAACAAAGGTCTGTGTTTAAGTCCCAACCTGGAGGGAGACGAGATGGACCGGACGATCCAATGGAACCCTTTTCTTAGAAGATAATGGACTTGGCAGTTTAGTTGGCACAGCTTCCATAAACTATGTATGAAAAGAAAAGGATGCAACATGGGGTATTTGCATTAAAAAAAAATGTTCTCAAGATCTAGCACGTAAGCAACAAGAAGGAGCCTGTGCTGTCTGATCCTTGCTGTGTGTTTCTACTGGCTTCATGATTCATGGTTACCAGACTCGATGTCTGATCTGCTGAAGCCAGTCATTAAGGACTGAGCTGGTAAAGGAGGCAGCCTATTGAGAAGGATTCTGCTGGATGGATATAATTAGTTTATTTACATCAAAAGCCATAGATCCCTTAAAACGACATCAGGAATAGCTGCTCAACCGTGTGACTTAAATGCATATTTCTGGTCTCCTTTGGAAGCTGAGAAGCAGAGGAACATGAATCCATTATAAGTAAACCTATGTCTATTACCATTCTAGAGTAAATGGAGATGCTATGAAGAGAAATAGATTTGTATCCTTGCTTTCAAAGGCAATGTTGATTATATCCAAGATCTCCCGAATGTTTTCTCCACTCTGCTACAACTGTGACTGTAATTTGATTGCAAAAAATATACCATTTCTGATACGATTTATGAAGATATACTTATAAGATAAACACTATTTCCAAAACTTATTTTGTTGAGCGCCAGCTGTGAAGCCACATAATCCAAATCACACTCCCTCATTGTTGTGACATCACGCAGGTGGGAGGGGCCAACATCAAGCAGGAAGTTAACCCTGCAGTGCATGAGGTGAGGAAAGTGAGAAATGCTTCAGCTAGTTTTCATCATGAGGTCATAACTTGTCATCGCTAACATATTGCACAAACCTTTGATGGAAACAAAATCAACGTGTTTCATTCAGGCCGGTACATTAGGATAAGCACCCCATCTCCTGATCAAAGGAAGAACAGCAGTTTGAATCGTATGCCAGTTAGAAGAGCTTTGAGTTTGTCGCGTTGTAACGCTGCATAGATACCAGTGTGTGTGTGTGTGTGTGAGCCTGTGTTTGAGCGGTGAAGCGGATCCTCAGCTGTCTCTCTGACATGGTGCTTAGAAAACAAAGTGCGTAGGGGTCAAAGGTCACATAATGTTTGAGCTGGTCGAAATACCTTCATAATTTTTTTTGAAACAACCCGGTGAAATAAATTATATGTTCACATTCTATTTATCATTTTGCCATATGCATTGTCTATATTGTAATTATATTATGTTGACACAAACACAAAAGGCTTTTTTACTCAAAGTTCTTCAGAAGGCTCAGGTACAGTTTGAATCCTTTCAAAGTACATAAGAAATGTTATGACTGCACCATTGCATCGAATAGAAACGTGGACGTCTGGCCCTAATCCGTCTTCACGAGATTGCATAATGTGACTTTGTAATGATGCCAAATGGTCTGTGGGAGTAATACCCATGTATTACTCTGCAGGGCACCTGTCGATGATGACGGGGTCGACCACCCTGGATGCCGTCTCAAAAGCAACAGGTCCTCCATTAAGCCTCACATTCCGTAAGCAGCCCACAAACGGCGAGGAGGGCACGGGGACTCGGTTCTGCTTTGTTGTTCCTGAACGGAGAAAAGGAAAAGCAGAAATTTGATGGTAGTGGACAAATTCTACACCATCAGTTTTTTATCTTTACTTTATGTATTTGTTTAAGTAATTTGTCTATTAAGTATATTCTGTTGCCTTTGATTTTCTTCATGCACTTGTACGTACGTGTGTAAACATTAGAGGATTTGAGTCACAAATTGTATGACTTTAGACTCGACTTAACAAAATCAAAAAATACTTTAAAACCAATGACTCATGACTTCAGTTGGACTTGAACCAATCGTGTTGTGTGGAATTCTGCAAACTTTATTACTCCTTTCAACCTTGACAAAGGCAGAAAAAGAGCAGATCCACTCCTTCTGTTCCTACCTTTCAGAATAAAAGCCCTGGACATTTACACTGCGTAACTGTTTACCAGAGGGAACTTCAATTCACTCAGAGCTTTTCACTAAAAGGAAACTTCCCTTTCAGTAGTTTAGGCTGTACAACAGTTTACCTCAGACAGACTGCTCTGGGTCAGTTTTTCCCACACCTCGATTTTAACCTTTTTATTGAAAAAGTTGTTTTGATGAGAGCATTTTGGATTTTTGGTTTTGTTTGTCTTGTTTATTCGCCACGCCCCCGTGTGTGGGCGTTTCCTTTTCACTGGCAAAACAATGACTTAGTCCCACCTCTGGTATACATTCACTACTATTTTATTTTTTCATGTTTTGTGTGTTTGACACACAGATTCAAAACAGAATAAATCCGATCGATGGACTTACCTCCGATGTAAAGTGTATCCAGTGTTGTTGAGGTGAAGCGGACGGCTTTCTGCTCAGACACCGAGTCCACCACTAGTTTGATGTCGTCTCGTTGTTTGGACACTGGAGGACAAGAGAGTGTAAATATCTACTCGCTCAAGAACCAAAGTTTGTCTGAAGTTATCGGCACGAGAAGTCGTACCTGTAACCAGGTGAAACTTTCCATCACAGAGGCTTTTGGGAGGAGTCACTGACACACTGACGGCAACGCTACCGACTTCCACATCGACGCCCACCTGGTAAAAGATCACAGTCACTAAACAAAGTGTTTTCGATCATTTATAATGCAGGTTTTTCTTTTGTAACTGGCTGCCATAGTTCACTCTAAGAAGGGTTCACCTTGCTTTCCATTAAGAACACACTAAGGCTGGCTTTGTGACCTCGAACGTGGAAGAGAAGACCTCTCAGGTGTTGAGGACGCAGCTCGAAGGCCAACACAAACTGGGAGCCAAAGGTGAAGTAGTTCTCTAGAGCAGAAATATTCTTTGTTAGACTTCAGGTGTTTGTTGTAGCTCACACATTGAATCAGTATGTAACTGGTCAAACCTAATACGATGTGACCGCCGCCAAAGTATGTCCCCATCTCTGTGAGCCCATCGAAGCACGGTAACGTTTTGTAGCTCGCCTCAGGTTCCCCGAGAACTTCCTCGTTCATTTTGAAACTCCGTATGCAACCAGTGACACTGTTCATGGGGATGTTGTGTCCCTGAGGGAGGACAGGAAGAAAAGAGGGTCAATATGTGAACAAGTGAGGGGGAATATGTGCGATAAAGAAACAGTCTGAGTGAGGTGTGAGAGAGACCTTTATGGTTTTGCTTTTGGGATCAGCTCCCAGATAAACAGGGTTGTGCAGGTCTAAAGATGATCCCTCATTGTTGGGCAGATGTCCATCGGCCACACGGATCCCATCAACCAGCATATGAAAAGTGCTCTTCTCCACACTGACCTCAACCTGTGACAGAGGGAAAGTAAAGACACATTATATGTTCGCCTGCTGTCACGCTGCAGCCTGGTGTCCTAACAATTATACTTCAAATACAACACAACAGCATTGTCAATTATGTTCCAAGGGAAATGTATTTCCTCCCGGATAACATTTGTTTTTGACGCATCACAAAAACGTTTCTAATTACAGTCTGTGGAAGATGTGAGGCGCAAACAACAGGACTTTCTCCTAGAAGATCACAGATCGCCTCCCGACTTTCTTGCTAGATTTAGCAATTAATAAATATGATCAGCTACACCTTTGTTTACCCTGCAATTACAGTACATGTCATAATGGCTGCTGTGAAAAGGGTCTGTAAAAAGTGGTATATTTGCCCCCATCATCACTGTAAGCTATATGTGCTGTGTGAGAACAGAGACTTAGACAGTAACTACGAGGGCGGGGCTTAGCAAATGGTCGATTACTCTGTGCCAGTTCCCGTCGTTGCTCTTCTGCTTGTGCTGGATGATTCTGTTTTGCCCGAGGGACATCTTGATCTTGCCGTTGGCCATGTAGACGGCCAGCAGGGGGAGGACTCCTCTCCCTGACACATGGAGGATCAGCCCTTTGGACGACTTGGTCTTGATGTCAAGAGAGAAGTGAGGCCTGAGACACCAGAGGAGTACAAAAGTGAAGTCCCCGATACTGTTAGTATGAATATTAATGAATGAATAGATGGGTGGGTGGGATTCAATAAAATAATCAATACCTCTTAAACCCAAGGCTGGTTTCTGAACAACACTGTCATAATTTCCACATCTTCAGGAATAAATGGGGTTTTTCAGTGTTTACATGGAATTACCTGTAGTTGATGTCCTGCTGTGGCAGGGTGTAGCTGAGCCAGCTGTTCTCCTCAGAGAGCTGGCGTTCATCACGCTGGGCTCGCCGGTGTTTACAACGGCTTCCTGCCGGAGCCTGAACCTAACACACGGCAGAGAAATGACCTTCATCCCCTTCTAATTATAACAGCAGTGGATGAATTATTACGGTGCTGTAGAAATAATGGCTTGTTGAACTCACAGGTTTGTGTCTGTGGGTCCTTTTCAACACGGGTGCTGGTAGAAGCTCAGTGGCAGGTGCCGGATGGAGAATGCATCGTCCAAGGACAACGTCTCCCGAAAATGAGCTTAGATCAGCAGGTACGAAGCTCTGCTCAGGCCTAAATACACATAAAGTCATGTTATTATAGGAGAAAGAGACACAAATAATCTGCATTAGAACAGTTGTTGCTTCAATAAAATTGTTTCCAAACCTCCTTATGTAAAGGTTTGCGATGCAGCCTTTGAATTTCCCTCCATGCAAATGTTGATCCACTGGCCTGATATGAGGCGTTTGTCCCTGAATCACTTTTACATTATCGATGCTGAGCTCCAACCTGAAAAGAAAAAATCCAGACGGGTTCAGTAAAGCTTTTTTAGATTAAGATAAAGGTATAAAAATAGGATGGATCTTACCCTGTTGGCCTGTTTACTGCAGACAAGTAGTGCCAGCGTCCATCACTGTACCTTTTATCCGACCTCAAGGTATAATTATCACTCTTGAATACTACATAACCATCAACCAGGGACAGCTGGACAGATGTGGAGCCCTGCAGACGATCAGAGAATACTAATAGCGTCATCAGGATATTTGGCTTTTGATTCTCTTTTTAAAGGAACAGTGTGTAAGATTTAGTGGCATCTAGTGGTGAGTTGCAGAATGCAACAATCTAAACTCCCCCTAGCTCACCGCTCCCTTTCCAAGCGTGTTGGAGACCTACGGTGGCCTTCAGGTACCGATAGGTATCTTGAGGATTGTATTACTATTAGGGGCTACTCTGATCAATACTCTGTTCTTTTTCATGACGAAATGATTGCTTTTTAGAAATATTTAAATATAACTAAATATTGTTTCTTGAGCAGCATCAGTTATGTTTACAACAGCACGATGACTACGTCCACTTCTTATATACTGTCCATGGGTGCAACGTGGCAGACTCCGCCTCCCGCTCCCTATGTAGACCTAAATGTCTTTTTCTAAGCTAATGAAAACACAACGAATCTTAGTTTCAGGTGATTATACACTGATTAAAACATATTTATGAACATTAAATTCCCTTTCTGCCAATTAATCCCGCTAAAATGTTACACGTTGTTTCCTTTAAAGCAGGATTGTGCAGGGTTTACCTGAGAGCTGCTCCTGAGCAGAGCACCATGTCGGTCTGTGCTCCTGAAGCCCAGAGAGACTCTGATTGGCTGCTCACTCCAGGAATCAACAGTCAGAGCTGAATACAACGTCGTTGAGCGAACACCCTGCAAGAGCCAGAAACACACCAGTATTACATTATATTCTCAATGTTCAGTCCTACGCATGAAGCATGAATCCATCTCTTTTGCTACCTTACCAGTAGCGAGACTGGACATCCGTCGCTGACACCGATCGTCCTGTTGTACTCGACGACCTCAGCGTCTGCTATCAGTCGATCCACACATCCTCTCAGCGGCGGAGCTGTGATGTCGTGTCTGAGATTCAAAGACGTAAATATACAGAAAACTGTAACAGAAGGGCTAATCTGACAAGCTAAAGCTATGACTGCTGCACGTGTCTGATTCGTTACCTCTGTCTGAGCGGTGCTGGCAGACCCCCGATGTAGTAACTGGGGTAGTTTGTTGGATTGTGATCCGTGGAGATCTGCTCTGGTCCGTATTGCAAAATGAACCGGTCTGCAATAACGATCACAAAGTCTTGGCCCTGAGACAGAACACGTCACTTTAGTTTAAAAAATGGAAGAACATGAATTCAGAAAGATTGCACTGCTTGATGTTCATTATCTCCACCAAGTATAAGCTGTGGGTGTTCAGTTGTGTGCGTGAGTGTGTGTTTCTGTCTGTCTGTCCAGGGCTAATCTCCCATACTGGACCCATCAGGCTGGTATTTATTGTGCTCATTTATGACTCTATGCTCAAGGACCTGGTGATTCACAATCTGACATTGTTGAATCAAAACGGATAAATTAGGGAAAAAATATTATAGCCGTCTGTGGTCACCGAGAGCTGTACGATAGTACTTAGAGAGACTGGACGGAATGCATGTGTACAGACCATAGACTGTGGTATAAACAATAACATCGCTGCCGTATTTATGTCTAGATGATATTATTTTGGGTCTTGATTAAGCAGCTACAGTGTTAGCAGAGACGACCACTGACTGATCCAAACTCTATTCAGAAAACAAGCATTTTAAAAGTTGTTTACTTGTCGTCTTGTGGAGAGAAGTAACTAAGCATCTGCATCATTGTGTAGTTATTTCGGCATCCTTTTTACCCATTTTTTGCAATTAAATCACATCGCATTTAGTTTTTCAACGTATGTGGGACTTCCACAACATGTACAAAGCAGCAATAATTTCGGCCATGGTTGATGAAACATAGTTGGTATCTACATGGAGGTAAATAAACACAAATCATCTGCCCTCTTCTAGTTCTGTGAAGTATTTTTAGATCATCTTACAAATAGAGACACTCTTTCATTGCTCTGAACTCTGAGCTCTCGACCTGCTTGCTGTCCTTGAAGCACCAGGAAGCCCCTCTCCACAAACACGCAGAAAAACGACTCCTGTAGCAGATAAAACACAAGATCGTGTCTTACGTTTAGCACCACAAAGCTGTTATCAGTAAGTGTTTGAGCGCTACAAATCTGTTCAACTCAATAAAAAACATCGTACTTCATTTCCGATGTAGAACAGCAAAGCGCTTGTCTCTCGGCTCTTTGTGTGAAACCTGAACAGTCTTCTCTTCTTCCTGTGCGGCTCTTTTACGAACGCCATGCGGTAACCTGTTCCCTCGTAATAACCAGACACCTCTGACCGGGGAATCCTAAACACATGAAGAAGCATTTAATCCTTTTTTGACCATTTTTAGTCAACAAACCTCTGCAAACGGTTTAACTTTTTTGAAACTTTCTTCATGCTTACTTCACAGGCAGCTGCTTTGCGTCCATATTGACGGCTCGCTTGTAGTTGAACAGGCAAACAGGATTGTCGTTGATGGAGGAGAGTTTCATCGCTCCTCTGTACTTGGGGTAATGCAGCTGCACTGGAGGCTACAGGAATCAAAAGAAGAGGCATTCAAATGTAAAAGGGTTATTTTCATGAACTATATTTTACACACATTCATTCTGGTTCATTACAGAATCATTTATGGCACAAATCCTCTAATAGAAGCTCAATGCTCCGTGGTATTTCAGCTCAGGGGGCGACTCCTCTGGTTGTATAGAAGTCTATGAGAAAATGACTCTACTTCTCTCTTGATTTATTACCTCAGTAAACATTGTAAACATGAGTTTATGGTCTCAATCTCTGGTTTCAAGAGATATTAAGTCAAAATTATGACTTTGTACCTGACAATTCCCACTGGATGCCAATTCTACAAGTGTGAAAATCAAACACGCGCAGTGGACTCATTACCGTAAAGTCCTCCGGATAGCCGCCCACGTAGAAGACGACACTGTCTGGATCCAGTGCGAGGGTGCCGGTCGTCGTGTCCGGAAGGTTATGTTTAGCAGAGAGGCTGATCGGCGCCTGTGAGGTGAAGTTCTGCGTGATGTTAACTTCAGCATCTTGGTAAACTCTGTAGGACATGACACACACAGAAATGATCTGTTCATTGCAACGTGGTGGAGGAGGGAACGTTAAGCACAATACTTTTCACATAAAAGATGAAGTACCTTTGGAAGACAACCCTGTCAAAGTCTGAGGAGTTCACGTTGGAGGTTGTTTTTATGCGGCTGGTTTTCACCTCATGGACAACTCCACCCAACTTGTAGACACAAATCAACACATTGCTTCTGATAGCCATCCCAATGAAGTCTCCCGAAGCCTAAAAATGAAAGAGCGTGACAACTAAAGATATTTAAAAATGACTTGACGGTAAACGTTATCTATATTGCTCTACTTGAAAGACGCATCTTTCTGTATTTTAGGAGGGAGGCACGCTCACATCCTTGTTGCCCAGGTAGAAAACAAAGAAGCTGGCGTCTCCTCGTTTGTTCTGGCGTCTCCTCCGTCTAAAGTCGGCTCCGGAGAGATCGTTTGGATGGCGATTGAGAAGCAGATCGACGGCCGTATACGCTTTTACGTCTTCGAGGTTTCTCGGAGGTCGAAGCTCAACGTGCCCTTTTCCATTGAAAGTGGTGGCAACTGAGATCTGTGAGAGAATCAGGCGAGGTCGAAATTATGAGTAAATGGATTCATGAAAAAGATGTTTAGTTGTGTGTTTGTTTGGGGGGTTTAAACCTGTCGTGATAGTTTTTTGGCCACTTGGGGGCAGTGTAAACAAGCTTTAACCCCAACACTGACATATCAACACTTTTTAAGTTTAACGTGTTGGCAAACAGCTGCTTTTCTTTCTGTCCATCTGATGAAAGTCCAATATTCAATCTCTTTAGCTTATTTTTGGTTGCTACCAACTACTGTGGAAAAATCCCCAATTTAATTAATTTGTTCCCATGTTTTGGTTCATTTAGGCACACAAGACACATGTGTTTACATTAGGAGAGCCAGCACAACAGACCAGCCTTTCTCCCCAAAGCATGAAGTGTAGTTCAGCTGCCTCAAGTACTCTCATCCACCAGTGACCGTGACGTTTTCCAGGACCTTCCGATTAACCAACTAAAAAATTGATAGCATCCTTTATGTCAGCGTAATGCCGACGTTACAATCCGAAAAGATCGTCGTTAACTGCCTTTTACTAATATTCCTTTGCAAAGCAAGTGTTTAGCTCATCCCCAAGCTTAAGTAAAGCTTAATTTAAGAGTCTCTATCCAGAACTATCTGAAACAAAGGCCAAGTGCCTTAAGCAGGTGGTGGCTGGAATGAATGATTGGGTGCCCAAACAACAATTTAATTAAATTGAGGCCACAAATTAGTATCTTGTGCGCACAAATTAATCAAAACATTGAAACTATTTAATTAAATTGAGGTAACACATGATGTCCTAACTCAACAACTCACAAAACTGTTTTTTAAGGGAGTCTGGTACTTCCTCCACTTCCTCTCAGATAGAGTGTTCTGTGGTGATTGTACTCTTTAGATTGTGCCCCAAACACATCAAATGCACTGTACAGTAATATTGAAAGTAATTATAATAATAAATAACATTACAGCAGGTGATTAAAAAAGTAAAGTGGGAAATAAACACTGGTGCCTTCGGTTTGAGAATTTACAGCTGCCCTTCAGATGTCCACTTTGTCCACAACAGTCTTAACATTAATTTCAAATGAAATGTGATGTTTGCAGTTGCCATACAATGCAGTAAAATGAGATTAAATTCAGACAGTATTGTAACAGGCAGAGCAGCAGGGACCCTGACCTTTAACCCCAGACCTTGTCATTTCATCTATTGTTGGTTTAAAAATATTGATTACGCCAGCTTCAAATCAAAGCTGGCAGGCGATAAACAACAAGGTAAATAGAATACTTCACCCTGTTAACAAAGTTTCTTGTCTCCTCTATCAAGTCCTTGATTCCCCTGATGCTTTCCGTCGTGTTGCCACTAGGAGGCGCCTTCCCACTCAGAGCCTCAACTTGTGTCATTTTGTCTCTCAATGCAGTGAGAGCTGTGCTCAAGTTCTTCACTGAGCAGACACAGGAAACAAACGGAACAAAGTGATTATATTCCAGCTGCAAGATGACATTCAATGGATTTAAAAAGTCTTGTCTGATTGCTGTCGTTAAATACTCACATGCCTGCTCTGCGTCGACCAACACGTCGTCTATATTCCCACCGACGTTGGTCAGAGTCATTCTCTCCACGTCCCGGCTGATATTCCTCAGCCTCTCCGTTATATTACCCACCGTGGAGTTGGAGGCCGAGGCAGCCGTCTTCGCAGACTCCATCAGGACGTCCGTGTCATCTGAAATCAGAAGGTGATCGACTGTGATCGACCGTGACTCAGAACAGTGCAGAGTGTAATCTTATCCTGTCGAGTGATCCACCGACCTCCTGTGATCTCTTTGAGGTTGTCTCTGACGGCTGAGATGTCCGTTCTCAGAGTTTCTCCTTTCCCCCTCTGACCTTTCACACGATCTTTGGAGGCGTTCGCCGCATGGGACAGAACTGTTTTTGAAAGAAATACAAAAGATTTCACCTTTGTGCGTTCTGAATTAATATAAACTATCTGACGCGATAGAAATGCTGCTGTTTCACGCACCTTTAAGGTCACTCTGAGTCTCGTTGGCTTCTGTGCGTAAATGAGTTGAATTATCTTTGAATCCTTCGGCCCTGTTGACCAGACCTCCCTCCTTCACATCCTAGTTCATAGAATAAGTATATATAATATGATATTTTTGACAGATGTTTTTATTATTTTACATCAGGGTTACACTGCTAATAGCGCCTGAGTTACCTTTAAGGCTTCATCAGCATCCTCTCTGGACTGATTTGCTGCCATTGCCGCCTTTTCTACCCCGTTTAAGATTCTGTTATAAGCTCCTTTACCCGGCACGCTGAGCAGGTCAGTACTGCTGGTGGCATTACGAAGCATTCTGCAATAACATAGAGCAAGAAGTATTCATGTCAACACATGTAAAAAGTTGTCTTAATCAGTGTTCATCTAAATCAGGGGTAGGCAACCTGTGTGCCAATGGTGGCATGCAGTAGCTTGAGTAGCTTTGGCTCGTTTTCCTTCTTTTTTGCGACTGATAATTAAATAGAGTCGCTGGATAATAAAACACATCAGGTAACATCACATTTGGAACAGAGCTAAGTTAGCGAGCTAGCTAGCGGCTGTGTTGGTGTTGGTGACGTACGTCGTGCGAGACGAGAGATGAAGTTCATTGAGCGATTTCATGCAAAACTAAACAATACCACGACAAAACCTATAAACTCTGACTTTTAAATGTACAAACATCATGGCACGAGGAAAAATGTTTCTTAAAATACAAAAAGAAAAACATTTTGATGTGGTGTCATGAATAAAACTTAATGCTAACCTTAATGTTGATTTGGCAAAGTGATTAAACAGGATTTATTTTAAAGGCACTTCATATTAAAATGTTGCAGACAGCTGATCTAAATGATCCTCTGCTTCACACTCACTGTTGAAATTCTGCCGCCGCTCTGTTGAGCTCCTCTTTCCGCTCCTCAGCTTTGGTTACGATTTCCATCTTTGCCGTCATTTGGAAAACGTTGTTTAACTTCTTAAAGAGTTCCGTCTTAGCGCCGTCCAGCTGAGCCGCATGATTCTCAGATCCCTGAAATGTACACAATAAATCGAGTTTGTACTAGAGAATGAGTGATGCCAAGCGTTTCAAATTTCTTACGATACCGATAGATTTTGTCACAATTTTAACAATACAGAGTTATACATGTGTTTTTTCAAAATAATGGTCCATTTCGGACATATAACGGCCATTAATAACAAATTTAATACAAAAGCAAATATGAGTGGCGAGATGGCGAGAACTTTATTCTTAAAAAGAACAGTCAATACTTGTGCATTTCCCTTTTTTCTCTCCAACCGTTCTAGCCTTCACAATAAAAGCCCCGGACACATACATTGGCGCACTGCTTTCTAGAGGACACCTGAAGTAACACAGAGCCTTCACTTAGCAACTCAACAAAATAGCATAGGAATGATACAAAAGTCGTGTGTAATGGTTTGGAAGTGATTTAGCCACCCACGTTTGTATTTTTATAATTTTACTATCAAACAAATGGCTTGTGTGTATTGACCCGCCCGTCCAGAGTTTGCACACTCCAAAACTCCTGTAATCATGGTGGTAATAGATGCCTGCTCACCTTTTTAATTTCCTCAAGCCTTAAAAAGATGTCGGTGATATTTTTCAGCAGATCTTCAGTCATTTCCGTCAGGGGAAGGAGCGCACTTTGTTCTCTCTCCAGCTGAGTTTGAAGATGCTGGCAAACGATAAAGAAAGAGCGGTGAAAACATCAGAGTGAGAAGTGTGTGTGTGTGTGTGTGTGTGTGTGTGTGTGTGTGGTAGGATGAACTCCAGCTGTGTTTCACTTCACCTCCAGGTGTTGTAGAGCAGTCTGACCCTTCAGGTTGAGGCCCTGCGTCCTGTCGACTCTGTCCTCTGCGTCTGACAGCAGCTCAGCCGCCTCCATTAGAGAAGAGGCCGAGGCCATCAGAGAGTCTGCAGTCTGGTTAAACACAGACTGGTTGGTTTCCACACGATCTGCTGTGTTGTTCCTGATTATGTCCAACACTGAGGAGAACACACAGACTTTGGATTTCACATGTTGAAGACACCTAGACTGTTGCATTAATGTTCATTCATTTCGAAAGTCGAAATGATGAGTCATAGAAGCAGCTCTTCATAGGTTACCCTACATGTGACATATAAATGGATTGTGAGTACATTGAAGACTTCTTTAAACGTGGCTTTACAACAGGTGAAATACTTCAATTGCTTGATGTTTCACATGGATTGTACTGAGCAAACGCACCCTTGAATAGAATTTTAAGCAAGAAGCAGCTCTAAGTATTTCATCTGTTGTAAAGTCACGTTTGGAAGCCCATACATTTAAGCGCTGATTAGGCTGAAGGTTAAAATATTGTGTTGTTTCTTTGAATCTAGAGAAGCTTTTGTTATGTTGCAGCTTTAAAAGTTGTGAACTACTTCACATCACTGTAAAGTCAGTGTGGTTTGTGTCAGAGCGACGAGCCGAACACCAGGTGCACCATTTTATTCAAAGACGGAACATAAACTCTATGCCAGAAAGCAAACAAATGAACAAAAACATTTTCTTTTCAAATCTCACATTTGAGTGCGTCCTCCTGCTCTCTGCCAGCTCTGTGTCTCTGAGCGCTGCAGCCTCTCACTCTCATTTCCTGCACGATGCGCTGAGCCTCCTCCATCATCCCGGCTTTGTCGTTTCCAGAGGGAGCGACCGACTCTCCGGGTTTCACCTCAGTTTGCTGCTTTATCAAATCTGACAGGCCACAATTACAGAAACACTGCTGTCGATGATCACTTTGACTAATCATTCAGTTTTCCTTTACAGAGTCTTGGTCTCGGCCTGACAGTGATGTAATCTCTCGACAATTTCAACACGTATATTATATTAATATTAACTGATGTACCTTGTATTGGTGTGAGGAGAGCTTCAGCCTCAGAGAGAAGATCCTCTGCCTTTAACGTTGGTCCATTCACATTCTGCAAGAACTTCTCCAGATCTGATTCAGTTTTAAGTGTCTGGAAAGTTGATGATAATGTTAAAAAAATGTGTTTTCAGATCAGATAATGTACACTAAGTGTTAAAACTCCGCACTAATCAGTTCATAAATCTCAGCAAGGTTGAGATGTTTTATGGTTCATTGCTCTCTGATGTATGTGACGCAGTTTATAAAACAACCTCCTGCAGTATTCAAGCAACAATTCACATTTACAATTTAATTATAAAAACTCTTGATGGAGTTTCCCGGCTGATTAACTGAGGAAAATTGACTCCAGGTACCTTTTCCGTCAGTTGACTAAAGCCATCTCTGATAACATCCACATCTGCTTCCAGCTGTTCAACCTCAGGATCCAGGTGTCTCCCAACCAGAATCTGAAAAAAGCAGAGGAGGCGAGGAGAACTCTGAAGTGTGAATATGGAGAAACATTATTGTGTGATAAGAATGGAGCAGAAGTTGGGATAATGTTCTTTCGGCAAGCTCTTTATTGGAAATGTTTTAAAGGGCCAGTGTGTAGCATTTGAATGCATCATCAGTTCGTATGATATCTCACAAAAACATATCTCATTTTTTGTGCGAGACGTCCATCGACGGATGTCAATTCCTGCTCGTAACATGCATGCGGTCTTTCCAAAATTAACTTCCATCTTAAAATAACTACAGAAGTGTCGTTACTTAAGTACGGAAGTTACGTGACGAATAAATCGTTTTTCACTCGGCACAAACAGCACGGCACAAAAGCTGTCGTGGGATATCTACGAATTGCATTCATTTTTTGTAGGTATAGCTACAAACGCTGTATGAGAAGAGCCTGAGCGTTTCGGGGATCTGTCACTAGAAATGGAGTGTAATATTCATAACTGTTAACATCACATAGGGAGCGGGTCCTCTTCACAGAGTCCACCATGTTGCACCGCCATGTTTCTACGGTAGCCCAGAACGGATAAAACAAACACGTTTTTTACGTTACCTGAAGGTCAACTGCAGTATCGTGAGCCGGGGTTTCAAAACCGCAGTGAGGTATTCAGTTGGTTGCAATCTGTAACCACATCACAAGATGACACCAAATCCTGCACACTGTCCCTTTAAAGGACGGTGCCTAACTACACGCAGAGATACCTAAAACCTGCATCAACTGCACCTTGGTGTCGGAGACGTTAGCCTCCAGGTTGTTCGGTCTGGAGAGGGAAACAGAACCAATAGTGACATTCTGCAGCTGCTGTTTCAGCCGAGCCAGGACATCGTCCATCTTCTCCAAGTTGACCAGTAAGGCGACAGGACAGCTGTCGCATTCTGTCATTAGATACAAGCAGAGGATGAAACCTTAAAACTCATTATATCACAGTTTATGTTCATTCATGTCAAAAGATGTTTGTAGGATGAATCTTCAACACAAACTCACCATGGCAGTGAACACTGCTGTTACCAGATGTGCTGCACTCTATTTGAAGGAAAAGGTTATTGAAGTGGATCTAATCACGTGAAGGCCAGTGTATTAGTTATGAGCAGCTCTACTCAGCCTGTGACAACAGATATACAACAATAGATATACAACAATAGATATACAACAACAGATATACAACAGTATGATGTCATCTGAGGAAACAACTCCTCAGCTTCGGTTTTGAGATTACTAATGTACACCAGAATACCTGCGTTACAAACTGTAGCATGGAATTAACATGAGCGTCAGGCAGAGGCCTTCAGACAAAAAAAGATACAACCAAAACAATTTGTTGCATTGTGGGAAATAAAGTCTCACGTGTATTTGGAGGTTAACCCATACTGGGGACCAAAGGTTGGGATATCTCGACGTCTAACGTTGAAACGTAACGTTCAGTATACTGTGCAGGATTTTTCTTAGAAACAATGTATAGACTATTACAAAAGTGAACCTTCTCATTCATCACCTATGACCCACTAGAAGTGTGTGGCAGTGTCTGTATCTGCAAAGACCTCTGGCTAGATTTTCCTATTTTATGTTCTTCCATCCGTCCGGTCCATTCTCGTGAGCACGACATATCTGGAATGCCTTGAGAGAATTTCTTCAAATGTCAACTTGGACTCAACGATGAATTGATTCGAATTTGGTGGTCAAAGGTCGAGGTCACTGTGACCTCACAAAACACGTTTTGGCCATAACTGTAGAATTTATATGCTAATTATTTCACTCAAATGTCTATTAGAATAAAATGATGAAGCGATGATATTTTGAACAGCAATCTGCAATTTCACTGGTTGATGGAGGCACACAACCGCAAGAAGGTAATTCTAGTTTCCTTCTTATTTTGTAATGTTAAGGACGTTTCTGGGCTTCAACCTTTGGGCGTTGGGTTTGTAGCCCCCCACGCACACGCAAGCACGCACACGAAAATGTATAATTACCTCCAGTCAGAGGATCACAAATGTTCAAGCCCTCCTTGCATTTGCAGGGCTTGCAGCTGCCTCCATGCACCATTGGATTGCCATAGTAACCGAATGAACATCTTAAAGAGAAAGAAAACAAGAGGGAAAGCTGCTTTTGAGCTTTCATCATTTTACTGTCAGTCCTACATGCTACTATAATTCATGTGGATGCATTCAGCTGTGGACAATAGGGATAAGGATGCAACATTGTACTGCACTGAAGACAATGTTCTGATGTAAACGATGCTCGTGTTGTATTGTGTTAGGAAATTGTTACTTCTTATTCCAGTCGTGTGGAAAAATGTTGGCATTGTACGTTTCTGCAAACCACGGAAATGTTGAATGTGGTCGTTTTTGCATTCAGTTACAGCAAGCGACGGAGTCGTTATTGAAAGTTATGTGGTCGGAACGTTACGTGGTATAATAGCGACTATAGCAAACAACTTTCACCCAAGAGGCCATTGTTTGTGACCTGTGTAAAACAAAAAAGTAAATGTTGACTTTATGGTTGTTACTTTGTGTAATGTTGTATAACAAAGTCCGCTACGGGCTGTTATTTATTTATGGTTGTGTTACGTTGTTGTGTTACGTTGTTGTGTTACGTTGTTGCGTGTTACGTTGTTGCGTTAAGTTGTTGTGTTACGTTGTTGCGTTAAGTTGTTGCGTTAAGTTGTTGTGCGTTACGTTGTTGCGCGTTACGTTGTTGCGGTGCGTTGTTACGTTACGTTGTTGCGTTATGTTGTTCGCTTACGTTGTTGCCTTACGTTGTTGCATTGTAACGTTGCCTTGTTACATTTATAAGATGTGTTGTTGCATTATGTTGTTGTGTTACCTTGTTGCATTACGTTGTTGTGTTACCTTGTTGCGTTACCTTGTTGCGTTACCTTGTTGCGTTACCTTGTTGCGGTACCTTGTCGTTTGTTACAGAAATCACGATCTTTTTCTAACCTCAAACAAGTTATTTTGTTGCCTAAACCTAACCAGTGGCATTGTGTGTTTCTGCACGATACAAAGCTGATATGAAACGTATTCCTGAAATGTGTTCTTCAGAAATGTTGATATTCAACCTATCCCGTGACAAACGTACAACGCCAACATTTTATCTGTCAACTGGGTTGCACTACTTGAGTCGCAGACACACCTCTGACATCTGGCTCCACTGTAACCACGTTTACACAAGCATTCAACCACTCCCGAGCCGACGTCCACACAGGCCAGGGCAAAACTGCAGAGAGACATAATAATTAATTCATACTGATGCAGAGCAGTTGAGCTTGGTTGAGCTAAAGATAATAAAAAGAGACTGACTTGTTCCGTGTGAAGGGGCACGGACAGACACGGCAGCTCCTGTTGGCTGCGCTTCCATAGTAACCCTCTTTACACCGTTCACAGCGATCCACGGTGGTGTCAAACTGACAGTTCTGGTCGACAAACACAATATGAACAACATGTTTTGGCCCACAAATGCCACAAACCTTTTAAGTGTGCTGTAAATTATTATTATTTTTAATTGTCTGTGTGTGTGTGTGTGTGTGTGTGTGTGTGTGTGAGTGTGAGAGTGAGAGAGAGAGAGAACTAACCTCACAGTTCCCTGTTAGCTCATCACACTCATTGGAGAGTCCATTACAGCTGCATGGCACACACTGACCCCTGTTCGGTCCGGCCCACTCTCTGTAGGAGCCAGAGCTGCACTTCTGTATCGACACACAGAGGAACAGTCAACTGTGAGACAATTAACTCGAGCAAACACTCCGACCTCACTGACCTGCTCAGGAGAAACCTATTATCACGAAGTACTCATGCTGCAAAGTGATTAACTGCAAGTACATGTGAATTGAATTATACTAATTACATTGGGTATCAGATGCATTTGTCACTGAGAAAATACATGATCTGGTATGAGTTTTAAATCAGGGTGCATATAGAAACACACACATGGGTGGATTATGAAACAAAGAGCCCCCGGACAAAGACATGCAAAAGGCCCAACGACCTCTCCTACATAGGAGAAGACACACAAACTTTATAGCTGTCGAGCTTCTTATTGTTGTCGTTTTGTGTCTCTTTGTGGTCATTTTGTGTCATTTTGTAGAAGTTTCAGGTCTCTAATGTCATTTTGTGTCTCTTTGTGGTCGTTTTGTGTCTCTTTGAGTGACATTGTGTAGGTATAGGGCAGTGGCCCCCTGACACTTTGGGCCCCTGGGCCGTTGCCCGGTAGACCCATTCAGTAATCCATACAGTGAAAAAAGTATTTAGATCCTAATAGTACTATAGTCCTGCAATCAATAACATACTTTAGTGAAAGAATGTGAGTATTATAATAAAAGTATTGATAGTGCAGTAAAATATGTTTTACTAATGTTTCTGGATTAATATTACTGCTGCATTAATGTGTATGTTGCATGTTTTTAACTCCTTTATGTATAATTGAATCTACATCAATGCATCATATTCTATAAGATCATCATCTGTTTGTCTGTCCTGTGAGAACCTCGTACCTCTAAAAAGAACAAACAGCCTGTTTTCAGCTTGGTGACGAAGCATTTTCCAGCTGATCTGAGGTACTTTTTAAAGAGTTTATTCAGCTGAAGAAGTAGGAGGATTTTCTCAACACATAAAGGAAACACTTCATCCTTTAGTTCATCACAAACATTCAACATCAACACATCTGGAGATACGCGCTTTTACCTGGACAGGAAGGGGATGAAAAACTGTCATCTGAAAAGTAACTAAAGCTGTCAGACAAATGTAGTAAAAAGTACAATATCTACCTCTGAGATGTAGTGTAATGGTAATTTTTTACGTATATATTTCTACTCATTGTATTGTATTAATGCATAAGTAATTCAGCTCTGAACTTTGTTGAACTTCACCATGTCTCTGTTGTGCAGAAGAAGAGTTCTCCCTCTCTGTTCACAAAGATAACTAACTGTGTTGTATGAGAATGTTCCAGCGCCAAGGCCTTTGGGCCGCTTGCTTTGGTTGCTGGCTGTTTGTTTTTCATTGTTGTTCCTATCTGTCTGAGACTGAAATGTCTGTAACATTGGCCATGGGCCCCCACCTTTGCTCATTCTGTATAAAGAAAGCGTGTTCACTTTTTTCGAGGTTCTTCCTCACTGAGACTGTACGCATTCTGCTGTGATGATTGAACCTTCTCTGATAAATACTTAAAAGACAACCTGGTTTTTGGTTTTATGTATTTCAGTATGAAAAGACTCACGCAAAGCGGGTATAGGAATATTTTCCACCACAGTAGTACAGTAAAA